ATTTAATATATATAACTGAATATTAAGATGAAAGCAATTTGCCATTAACTGCCAGTGGCCTCATTTGTTACACTCGGCCCTAGAAGGCCTCGAACCTCTGACTAGTCTTTCACGGTCTGCAACAGTATGGCACTGTAGGATAAGCCCTGGACTGCTAACTGGAAGATCTGAGGTTCATATATCCACCAGTTGCTCCTTGGAAACCCTGTACAGGGTTGCTATGAGTTGGAACAGACTCAATGGCACTTAACCAATTTTCCTGATGGCAGCAGCAGCTCCCTGGTGACAAATGCTCTGTGTTCAGACTTTGGGAATCATTCATAAAGCCTAGAGTCTCTTGCTTTATTTCTGCAAGTCATTTAATACCTTTAAGCTTATACCAATGAGTGCAATCCATTGTATAAAACAGAATCCCTATTTGTAGACTGTTTGCTGTTGTATGTGCAATTGAGTCAGTTCTGACTCATGGCGACCCTGTATAGGGTTTCCAAGGAGCAGCTGGAGGGTTTGAACCATAAGCCTCGTGGTTCAAAGTCCAGTGCTTATCCTACAGAGCCATATCAGGACTCCACAGAATGTTTGATAGTGGTGGTTATGTGCCATGGAATCGGTTCCGACTCATAGTAACCTCCGTACAGGGTTTCTGAGGCTATAAATCTTTATGGAAGTAGTAAACCTCATCTTTCCCCTGCAGAACAATTGGCAGTTTCGAACTGCTGACCTTGAGGTTAGCAGCCCAATTTGTAACCACTACGCTACCAGAGTTCCACACACTGTTTAGTAAGATGATAACTGTGCTCTAAAACAACACTGCAATTTGGCAAGTTGTAAATTTCCTGATATGTTCTCGGCATAGTTTCTAAATTTGAGCAAAGACTCACAGAAGAGTCTTTAAAAAGACAGATCATGTGAGTCCATCCTTTCATGCATGGCTTCCTCATTGAGGGGACTTGAGCATGTCATTTAATCTCCCTGTGAATAAATCAAGACAAGAATTCCCAATCTTCTGATTTCTAAACCATTGCCCTTTTTAGTGTATCAAATTACCACAGCTGTTTGTAAAATGACTAATGTATGAGTGTAGCTCAAATAGAAAGCCGTGGCAGTGGATTATAATAAATTCAGTGTAAATTTAAAATATTTATTTCCTGATCTTTTTTTAAATTAATCTAGCTAGTCATAAGGTTCTGTGGTTAAATTTACTTGTCCTTAATTCAATAATCTTCCTCCTGTTGTGTAATCAACATGAATAGAAACAGAATTTCAAACACTCACATGCCCTACACTCTTGAATCTATAGAATCGTCTTTTGTTGTATATTTGTGTGGTGTTGGGGGAAGGTAGCAAACTAACGATTACTTTGAGGGAAAGTACCTGAATCATTTTAGAAATTGTGGTTGTGATGGTGTGTCGTGGAGTCATCCCGACCCATAGTGACCCTGCAGAGGGTCTCTGAGGCTGTAAATCTTTACGGGAGCAGAAAGCCTCATCTTTCTCCCAGGGAACGGCTGGTAGTTTTGAACTGCTGACTGTGAGATTAGCAGCCTGACTCATAACCACTATGCTACCAGAGCTCCTTTTAGAAATTGTAGGGAGTTGGCCTCTGTATTTTCCCTTTGTGCTACACGGTATAAAATCAGGTGGTGAATATGCAGAAAGAGAATAAACTCAACTTAAGTGTGGTGCTGGTGGTGGCTGTGTGATGTGGAGTCAGTTCTGACTCACAGCGACCCTCTGTACAGGGTTTCTGAGGCTGCAAATCTTTACGTGAGCAGAAAGCCTCATCTTCCTCCCGTGGAACAGCTGGTAGTTTTGAACTGCTGACCTTGAGGTTAGCAGCCCAACTTGTAACCACTACGCTATCAGGAGACCTCATATTTCAGTGCCTGCCATTCTTAGGAAGGTTATAGTCCAACAAGATGGGCACATTTTTTACCAGTCCATTTAAATGACTAAACTGCCTTGTAGAAACTCAAGGTACCCCTTGAATAAAGCTCACTTTGAAAAGTTCATGACTTATTCACCAATAATTTAATAAACATGAAACAGAGAACTCAACATTTGCGGAGGAATTCTCTTCAATTATTGAAGTGTCTTTGTGATTCACATCAAAGGTAGGTGACTGAGAAGATTCATTTCAGAGCAAGGCTACATATATTTCCAGTACTCGGGCATCCAAAGTCAATATTTCAATCAGTCTGCTTAGCTACAATAATATAAGTCAGTATGAGA